GCCTGTTCTGGCTGGTTCATGCTCCTCAGCCAGTGCAAGCTGTTAGCTTTCCCCAGTCATGCTGGATGAGGAGATGCTGTGCAATAGTGTGCAGCTAGGGATGGTGCATGAATATCCTTGCAGTAGAGGTCAAACTGTTGCTGCTAAAGTCCTCTGTTCTCCTTTTCTGCCAGCAGCGATGATGATGAGGAGATGCTCATCAGTGAGGAAGAAGTTCCCTTCAAAGATGATCCCAGAGATGAAACCTACAAGCCCCACCTAGAGAAGTATATTGGATGATGTACTTACAGGGGGATTAGGCAAAAATAAATGACATTTTAGCTGAATGAGCTTAGTATGCCCCAAAGCACCTGTGCTAGTGGCTCAGGTGGAATGGGCCTAAATAGTGCTTGCAACTGCCAGGACAGTTGTTCTCTCAGGGACTAAAGCCTTTAGAGCCTTGCTGTCTGCCGAGTGCTTCCTTAATCCTTGTTCAGACTTCTGCTTAGAAGTGGGACTTGAGAGACAGACCTGAACTTCTGGCCAGTTTTTGCTCAAATCTTTGTCAAAAGCAGGCAGTGCTTTTGGTCTAACATGTTGTATTTGTGTCTTTGTAGGGAAGCACCAAAGCAAAGAAGAAAAGCTGCCAAGGGGAAGGAGGAGAAAGAAAGGCAGAAAGAGATTAAAGTGGAAGTGAAAGAAGAGAATGAGTTTCAGGAAGATGAAGAACCACCAAGGAAGTGAGTAAAACTGCAGTTGCATGTGGCAGTGTGTATTTTGCATTCTTGCTGGTGCACAACAGTGTTTTGTTGTGGTTGTTTCCTCCCTTGTCCTCCTCTGGGCCTGAGGGCTGATGGGGCAGCACTGTTTGTCCTGCTTCCTCATGTCTTGCCTGTGTTGGGCCACAAAAAAATCAGACAGTTGGTTTAGTTTAGATTGAGGGGTTTTCTCTCATCCTGTGGTTAGTCGGCCTCCCTGGGTGTGGCCACACAGTGGGGAGTGCTTCAGGGCATCCTTTACAACGGGTTCTGTTGTGATGCTTGAAGTGTTAGATCAGTCTGAGAGGGCAGAGCTCCTGCTGTGTGCCATGGAGCAGACATGGGCATACTTCATACCTGTGTGTCCTAAGTGTGTCCTAAGTCCTTTACCTTTGGGACTAGACTAGAGATCAGGAAAACCAGCTGTGTTCTTCCTTGCTTTGGAGAAGTAAAAGAACAAACCTTTGCTACCTACTCAGTCAGCGGTGCTTTGGGGCAGAGGCTCAACATCTTTGGGTGTGCTGTCACTGCAACTCCTCGTTGAAGCTTTCCTCCTGACTTAACTATGGAGGGAGGTGGTTTTGTGTGTCTGTGTCAAAGCCATTCTTTGGGATAGTGTGAGAGGGGGAAAAGAGGAAAAGGAGCTGTTTTGTCTCTGAGCAATGGAGTGGCCGGGGCTCCCTCTGCTGACCCTGGCAGTGTCGCTTCTCCTGCAAGTTCCTGAGTTGCTGCTGATTTGCAGTGGAGAGGAGTGAGTGGGCTGATATTTTGGGAACGTTTTTGTCTGTTGGAGGCTGCTTCCTGAGGCTTGTGGTTTTGTTGTTTGGATCAGACACTACTTCTGTGCGTAATAAAACCTGTGCCTCTTCTGAGGGCTGGGCTTGAACGCTGAGTGCCTGTTCAGCATGTTCCTGGCATGGGCTTGCCATCAATAAAGATGTCTCAGTAGAGTCTAGAAAAGACACTCATCAATCTACTCTAAGTGTCTCTGCAGCAACGGGATTGAGCTGGCACAATGTCCTGGGCAGAGCTGTTGCATGTAAGCACAGGTCTGCTCAGACAGAGCCTAGATTTTTGTCCTGACAGGTGTATAAGCTGCTGTAGCTAATCCAGAGGACTGTAAAATAGCTGCTGGATCACTAATCCCGTTCTCCCTGGTCATTCAGGTTGGTGTTTTCTCTGTTACCCAACAGAACAGAGGAAGTAAGGTGCTCCATCAGTTCTGGACTGTGTGGGCAAAGTTACATGTTCATAAAAAATGCATTAAGAAATGCATTAGGAAACGGGAAGGGTTGAGAAGACAAACCACATGAAGCATTTATTTCTCTGGAATTCTTCTTCCTCTCAATCTGTCTCCAACTTGCACTCAAGTTTTTTTCTAGAGCTTGCAGTTAATGAGGCAGCAACTTCCTCACTGTCTGCAGCAGAAACTTAGGGGAACAATATCTTGTGTGTTGATGTGCAGCCTGGAAAGGGATCCATTTAATGATAAGGTCACAATTATTTGGCCAGTTTAAAAGAAAAGCTGTGAAGCGTGTGATGCCTGGTTAAGGGTTTTCTGAAGGTATTTCTACGTGCAGCATTTTGGCTGTGACTTCCCTGGTGCGTGCCTGGGTGAGAGTGGTGGGCTGGGACACGGGTGGGTGACCACAAACAGAATGTGTGGTGTGCCAGGCCTGGCAGTAGTCACAGGGCTGCAGCCTGGTGGGGTTGGCAGAGGCAGGGAGGGTTGAGATCTGCCACACGTCACTAAATGTCATGTGCAGAAGAAAGTGTCACCCAGGCACCAGAGGCAGGGGGACCACAGCTCCACTAGGAACAGCCTGCTGCAGATGTGGCAGTTCTGCAAGGTGCAGGGACAATGTGCATGGATTCCTGGTTACTGAACTTCACTAGGGAACCTGCCCATTTATTACAAAAGCATTTATTACAAAAGCTTTTCCTTAGGAGCTCCCCAGGTGTTCATCCTTGGTTTGCCAGAGCTGACTTGCTGGGTGCAGTGTTACTTTTCAGCCTAGCAGAGTTCTGTACTATTTCTTACTAGAACATACCCTTGAAAGTCTCTACCCACTGCTAATGTAAAGAAGCTTCTCTCAGTTCTGTCTCTGTGTCTCTCTTACAGGAGGGGAAGGAGGAGAAAGGATGACAAGAGCCCAAGGCTGCCCAAGAGAAGGTAAGTGAGCTCCACCAGATTCTGTTCTGCAGACTTGTTTGGGTCTTACGTGCAGATCTGGATTGTGCTAAAGCCATCTCTCTTGCACAGTACAGAAATCTGCCTTAAGGGGTTAAAAAGTAAAAACAAGCAGCATGCCTTGTCTTCCCTCTTTTCCTTCCCCCTTCCCCCTGTAGGTGTGGGTTTGATTTGTTCCAACTGAACCAGCCCCCTGCCCACTTCTGAGCTGATCCCTACCTTGGCATTGCCTAGCAGTAAGGTTTTAGGAACTCTGGGTCTTCTCGGGTTTTCCCAGTTCCCAGGAGAGCCCTCAAGTAGTAGTAGAATTGGAGGTGACTCTTGGACAGAGGCTCCCAGACGGCAGTATTGGAGCAGAAATTCTTTGCCCTCGCTTCACTGAGCTGTGCTTGCACTCACTGGTTGTTGTGCTGCTGCCCTGGTGTCAGCCCCTTGTAGAAACATAGAATCACATGGATCATACGTAGAGAATCCATATCTACAGAATCATCTAATCACAGACTCAACCAACCACTCTGTCCCTTTCATTGCTGACTTCTCAGGAAGAAGCCTCCGATACAGTACGTGCGCTGTGAGATGGAAGGCTGTGGCACAGTCCTGGCTCACCCGCGTTACCTGCAGGTCGGTGGAGGTTCCCACTCCCTGAATCTGAGGGTAGGGAAGGGCTGTTTGGAACAGGCAGCTAATCCCCCCCTGGCACTGACACTCCTTCCTGATGCTGTCTCTTTGGGAGACTTAATCAGTTGTGGCCACATACATCTGTCTGGTTGCTGGATGTCCATAGACAATTCACTTTGCAATGGGGTTCAAAGCCTGTGTGTTCATGGTGTGAAGGTGCTGGTCAGTGACTGCCTGCTGAGGGGCTGTGTGGGGTCAGGGTGTCTCAGTTGAGACTGCAAGTGTTTGCTCTTCCTTTTTAGCATCACATAAAATACCAGCACTTATTGAAGAAAAAATATGTGTGTCCCCATCCCTCCTGCGGTCGGCTCTTCCGGCTCCAGAAGCAGCTCTTGCGGCATGCCAAACATCACACAGGTACAGGGGATGGGAAGTGGATACAAACTCCTCCTCAGTCAGTGAACAGAGAGGGGAAAAATGGAAAAGCCTCTAGGATTTCTGGGGACAGTGAAGCCAAGGCAGGTGGCATAGATTCGAAGCAGTAGCAGGGTATTATTTTCTTCCAGATTACCATCTTTTAAGGAAATGAAAGACATAGATTACAGTGGTTTTTAATTCTCCCCCTGGCAAGTATCACTCAGGAGTTCTGTAGAGGAATAAAGCAAGCCAAGCTTTATCCTAATTTGCCAGTCCTTCAGTGTTGGTCAGAGTGGATAATTGGCTCTTAGGAGAGTCTTACTCATGCTTTGCTGTTTGTGATCAACTTCTGCGATGCGCTGGGGGACACCTCCTCCTCTGCTGTGCTTGCTGGCCTCCCAGAACTTCAAGTTCTACTTCTGGCTGGGCAGCTTTACCTGCACCACGTGAGAGCTGGGAAAGGGAGCAGGTCTGTGGGAGAGCAATGCTGCAACTGCACTTGTCTTTTAGATCAAAGGGATTACATCTGCGAGTACTGCGCCCGGGCGTTCAAGAGCTCCCACAACTTGGCGGTGCACCGGATGATCCACACGGGCGAGAAGCCCTTGCAGTGAGTACCTCTGCCTGTCCCTGACTCTGCTGCTCTGAGGGACCCCAGTACACCCCTTTGTGGGTTGCACTGAGCAGTGTCAGCTCTGAAGTTGGGGCTGGAGCCTGCTCCTGGCGTCCTGGCTCTCTAAACACACACCTGTGGGAGTGTTGAGCTGCCCCTTGGATGGTGTCTCAGTGTGGATCTGGGGAATATAAGCCCTCAGCAAATGAAAGCATCAGAGCTAGAGCCTGGGTAACATTCCATTTTAGTGAGCCACCTCAGTTGTCCTGGGCTGTGTCCTTGCTACTGCTGTCCCCCAAAACGTGTGGGGATGTCCCTAACCTCCCCCTTCTCTGCTCCCAGGTGTGAGATCTGTGGATTCACCTGCCGGCAGAAGGCTTCCCTCAACTGGCACATGAAGAAGCACGATGCGGACTCCTTCTACCAGTTCTCCTGCAATATTTGTGGCAAGAAATTTGAGAAGAAGGACAGCGTTGTGGCCCACAAAGCCAAGAGCCACCCCGAGGTGCTTATTGCTGAAGCACTGGCTGCCAACGCGGGTGCCCTGATCACCAGCACCGACATCCTGGGCACCAATCCCGAGGCCATGGCACCACCCACCGATGGGCAGGGCCTTCCACTGCTGCCCGACCCCCTGGGCAGCGCTCCCCCCGCGGATTGCTTGCTGCTGAGCCCCGAGGGGATGCCCAAGCCCTACTGCGGCGGGGCAGAGCGAGTGAGCCTCGTGGCTGATGGCAAGCTCTTCGTGGGCAGCGGCAGCAGCGCCAACCCCGAGGGGCTGGTCATGAACACAGAGATCCTGGGAGCCACCACAGAGGTGCTCATCGAAGATTCAGACTCCACTGGACCCTAGTGGTGGGGGGAGCACCTGGGTGCTGGGACAGTTGGAACTCTGTATTTAAAAGGAAAAGGAAAAAAAAAGAGGAAGCACTTACTGAAAGAGAGGAAAGTTAAACAAAACTTACAATACTAGTAAATAACTGAAGGGTCTGCTCCCCTCCAGCGCGGATCACAGCACATCCTCTTTCTCCCAACCACTTCTCTCTCTCCCACGGCTCCTTTGTGGGAAGGGGCACGTGCTGCCATTACCAGAGCAAGTTGGATTGAGCGACGGATTTCCCCAGGGGAGGGGGCACTGCCGAAACCCTTCGCTCTACCCCAAAGCAGATGCCTTTCTGGCTCCTTGATGTGGCCCCACTGGCAAACTAGAAAGCATTGGATGTGCTCTGGAGAAGTTTCTTAGGACTCCCTCTGCCCCTGGTCCCGACTTCTATGCACCACTGCACTCTGGTCCCTGCAGTGTCCTCCTTCCTCCCGGGGCTAGGAGTTTGGCACTTTAGCCCCTCGGCAGGGTGAGCTGTGAAGCAGCGCACGTCCCGCTCCCACCGCGCTCCCCTGCTGCAGCCCTGGCAGGAAGTGGAGGGAACGCCCTGGCTCATAGATCATGTTTGCTTGGAGAGGCCCGGGGGCTACGGGAGCCCTGCGTGGGAGAGGCAAGGAGGAGCATCCCAGTTTGACGACAGTAATTTGCACTTTGAACATGCTTCGTTTTTGTGTTGTGGTAACAAGATTCCTTATTTATTGATTAAAAAAGGGTCGGTATTCTTTAGTTCTGTTCTTAGGGGCGGGGGTGGAAGGGGTTCAGGCTGTTTCCCAGTAGGCTGCAGTGCAGGGAGCACAGTGAGCCATCCTAACAGCAGCTGGGAGAGCCGAGGTGAAGGCAGCGCTCTGGAGTCAGATGTGTCTCGCAGCTTTTCCAGAGTAGAGGGAGAACCCCTGGAGAAGAGCCTGAGTGCAGTGGGAGTCTCTGCAGCAGCATGGTAGCAGGAGGATGAGGTGAGTGATGGAACAGCTGGCTGTCATCTCCCTCCCTCCCTCCCAGCTCCGGGTGAGCTCCTTGCATTAAATGCCTGTTTTGCCTCCCCCCACTCCCCAGCTTTGTGGGGAAGGACGTTGTTAGCCAGGAACTTGTTCTCGTGACTTGGGACAGTCGTGAGCTGCTTGCTGCTGGGGGATGTGCTCCTCATCCGACTCTGCCTCTCCTCTCCGGGTCTAGACAAAGGCACAGGAGCAGGGACTGGTTATGGTTGTCTCAGGCTTGTTTATCCAAGGCAATAGATTAACATGGGACTAAGGGGCTGTCAGCTTCTCTCCCTCCCCCGTTCTGGGGGAGGGTGTTGTGTGGCTGTGTTCTCAAAGCTTCTCTCCTCTGCACAGACACTTCTGCTTCCCCTGAAACGTGGTGGGTCAGGTGTTGCCTGCCGGTGTAGTTAGGGCAGCTCTGAGTCCTTGGAAAAGTTTACATAGAATAAGATGTGTCTGCTATGGAGACTTGGGGTTTTTTTTGCTCTTCTCTGGAACTTTGTGTGGAAATTCAGTGGCCTTGAATTCGTAGTGGTTTTGGAAGAGGTGAAGAATAACCTGGCTTTTTGTTTGTTTGCTTGTTTTTGGGTTGGGTTTATGTGGTTGGGAGCAGAGCTGAAGTATCTTGTCTGAGCATAGGATCAGCTGAATTGGTCTGTAGCACACAGCAGCTTGGCCAAATCGGGTACCTAGGGTCTGGAAAACGGCAATAAACCATGGAACTTAATTGGAAACTTTTAACAGGAAACTGACTCTGAACACCCACTCTCTCCTGTGCTGCCTAGAAATCCAGCTGTGGCCCAAACACAACGGCTTTTATTGGGCCTTTTGTCCTGGTTTGCCCCCTCCCTCCCTCGTCACACTGATACCTTTGTCAGAGCAAGTTGAAACACCTCTGGTGTTGGGGCGGATCGTGGCTCAACAGTTTGGTGTCTTATGCCCTGGGTGTGGGCATCCCACGTTCTCACACCGTGGCAGCAGCCTGGCTCCCAGGCCTGCGGGCGCTGTGTCCTGCCATGAGATGAGGGCCCAGCATGCCTGATGTCAGGTCTCCTGGGAGGATGCAGGCAGGTCTGCAGTGGAATGGTGTTAAACCAAACCAGTTTCTTCGGTTGGGATGATCCAGTTTCTTGCTTGGATCACATTACTGTGATTTCCATCAGGAAACTTTTGGGTGGCAGCTGGTCCCCTCCCCTTGCCAGCAAAAGAGAAGCAGCACGCTGAGACCAGCAGTTCTCAGCTAGCTCTGATGGTTTCACTCCTGGCAGTGCTTCTGTCCAGGGACACTCAGGGCTGGCCCAGCCATGCTGTGTGGTGGCCTGGCTATTGGCCCCTGGCCAC